ATATTTAACATAAAAAAAAAAAAAATAATAAATAAAAATGTTTCCCAGCAATCTCTATAAAATAAACTGCACAACCATTAAAAAAACTGGAAAAGTCATGGAAATTCATTAGTCAAAAAGAGTGGGAACCCTGTATCTTAAATCAGGAGAGATTTCATATCAGATAAACATCTTTATATGACAGACTCTCAAATTACCTGTTTATTCACATGGCACTCAAAACTAGGCCAACAGGTCTAAGAAAAACCAGGAGTAAATCATGCGATTCTGCAGGAATGGTATGCAATGAAACAGCGTAATACTGAATAATAAAGAGGCAGAAACAATAAAAAGATATCCTGTATGCATCTGCACCTATAACAGAACTTAATTCTGTAACTTAACTTAGTAAGCGCAGTACACAAAGCCAACAAGCAGGCAAGATTATGGAATATATGGTGAAATTGTTCAGCTTTAACTAACTAAATAAATAAATATCCCTTGAAAAATTTCGATCCATCGATTTTCTTTATAAATCTATCTAGTCTACATCCAGTTTCTAAAGCTTGCACATCAAACAGGCTTTCTCAGTTGCATCACATACCAATACGGCAAACTCTTACTGATCTTTGCAAGTCCCTACACTATTCATCTGTTCACAAACCTCCATATTATTCTACATCTGGTTCTCAATTGTGGTAGACCAACAGTTGGGTTATAGGTCTACTCTGGGGAAAAAAATCAATTGCAAGTAACCATTTAAAGAGGTATAGTTCAGACAACAAAAACAAATAAGCAATCAGCTTCAAGCAATCATTAAAGGAATAGTTCATCCAAAAATGAAAATTAGCCCATGATTTACTCACCCTCAAGCCATTCTATGTATATCTCTATGTATATGACTTACTTCTTTCAGATGAATACAATCGGAGTTAAATTAAAAATGTCCTGGCTCCTCTAAGCCTTATAATGGCAGATGGGGGTCGAGATTTTAAAGTGCATCCATCCATCCATAGAAAGCACTCCACATGGCTCTGGGGGTTAATAAAGGTCTTCTGAAGTGAAGCAATGTGTTTGTGTAAGAAAAATATCCATATTTAAAACTTTATAAACTAATCTCTAGCTTCCGCTAATTGTCGTACACACGTTCACGAGAGAATGGTGTTCCAGCGGATGAAGTAGGATGTAGTTGTAGCATAAGCTCCGGTGAGAATATGTTAGTCTCGCGAGAACCAAGTTTTGTTTACAGCAAAGGAAAACCAGTCTCCTCTTGGCTTATATCGACATTTTTCTTTACAAATCTTCATTTTGTACTTCTAATTCATGACAGATGTTTTGTTCTCTTCTGCACTTCCGCTTCACGTCAGAAGGCCTTTATTAACCCCCCGGAGTCGTGTGGAACAATTTTTATGATGGATGGATGCACTTTTTTGTGCTTCAAAATCTCAACCACCATTCACTGCCATTATAAAGCTTGGAAGAGCCAGGACATTTTTAATAACTCCAATTGTATTCGTCTGAAAGAAGAAAGTCATACACATAGGATGGCTTGAGGGTGAGTAATTTTCATTTTTTGGTGAATTATCGGTTTAAACGTTATGATATTTTGACACAAAACATCTCTCAATTGCTAGAAGCAGTGAAATTATGCAGAATTTAGTAATTCTGCATAGTTTCGTAATTCTATTAATTTCTACGCTCTAAAGCAAAACCAGTTCAAAAGCACTTATCTACATCATGTTCCTCAGTCAACTCTTTAGTCTAGTACCTTTAAATGGTAGTGTACATGTTCACACTATAGCATATTAATAGACAAAGAGTGCTTGTATACCACACCAGATTACACTTTATTTTAAAGGGTTAGTTCACCCAAAAATGACAATTCTGTCATTAATTACTCACCCTCATGTCGTTTCAAACCCGTAAGACCTTCGTTCATCTTCGGAACACAAATTAAGATATTTTTGATGGAATCTGAGAGCTGTCTGACCCTGCATAGACAACAATACAACTGAAATGTTCCCAGACCCAGAAACGTAGCAAGGAGATTGGTAAAATAATCCATGTGACATCAGGGGTTCAACTGTAATTTTACGAAGCTACGAGAATAATTTTTGTGCGCAAAAGAAAAGAAAAAAACCCACTTTATTCAACAATTTGTCTCCTCCGCGTCACCCTGTAGCGCCATTTTGGAGAGTATCTGCTGGACGTAAACAACGTATACTGTTCTGTGTCAGCTGCGCCACACGGATACGCTGTTTTCGTTCAGATCAAATCACAACAACGTAGGAAACAGATCTGGCGTGCCACAGCTGACCCAGAACAGCATACGTTGTTTACGTCCAGCGGATATTCTCCAAAATGGCGCTACAGGGTGATGCGGAGGAGACGAATTGTTGAATAAAGTCGTT